GGGGCTCGAGACCAGCCTGGGCAATTTGGTGAGACCTCGTCTCTACAGTAAATCAAAAATATTAGCTGGGCGTGATCGCATGTACCTATAGTTCCAGCTACTTGAAGACTGAGGCAGAAGGATCGCCTGAGCCCAGCAGGTTAGAGCTGCAGTGGTCATGAGCATGACAATGCACTGCAGCCTGGGCAATAGAGTGAGTCTCCAACTCAAAAAAGAAAAACCTAAATCAAAAATAAAATTAATACTACTTTAAGTAGACAAAACCACAATTGTATACATTTACAGGGTACAATGTGACATCTTAAAAGATGTATACAATGTGGATAATTAAATCAAGCTAATTAATTAGCACAATTTGTCACTTCACTTGCTTACGATGTTTTGGGTGAGACACTTGCATTTTACTAAGTTATTTTAAAAATACACTATTATTGACTATAGTCACCTTGATGTGCAGTAGCTCTCCACATGTGTTCCTCCTCTTCACTCACAGCTTTGCACCCTTGACCAACGTCTCCCCATTCCACACTCCCAGCCCTTCCATCACCTGGGAACAGCCATCCTACTCTGCTTCTATGAGTTCAACCTGTTTCTACTCCACGTGGACATGCAAGCCGGTGGTATGTGTCCTTCTATGCCTGGGCAGGCGAGACCTCATCTCTACAATAAATAAAAAAATTAACCGGGCGTGGTAGTACGCGCCTGTAGTTCCAGCTACTTGGAAGGCTGAGGTGGAAGGATCGCCAGAACCCAGCAGGTTGAGGCTGCGGTGGCCAGGAGTGTGCCACTGCACTCCAGTCTGGGCAACAGAGTGAGACTCCAACTCAAAAAAAAAAGACATGGAAGTAACCCAAGTACCCATCAAAGTGAATGGCTGATGAAAAAAGTCTTATATTGTATGAGGACATCTGAGTAGAAAAATATAAAAACCCTCCAAATAAACGCATCACTCTGCTAGAGCTCTAAATCAGACTCACTCTGAGTTGATGAAGAAATATGTGCAGAGGTGGCAGCAGTGACAATGCTCTTTATTTGTGATGGTTAAAGGACAGGGTGCAGGGGTGGTGCCCTTGCTTGTGACAGGCACATGATCCAAACATTGCACCCAGGAATCTCCCTACTGGCTCAACCCAGTAAAGTCACTGGTTTCACCATCTGGACGAGTAGCCAAACTGGACAAGGCATCCTGGGCATCGGGAGGCCCTGCCTTCGGGCCTGTGACAAGGGAGGTGGGTGACGTCAATCCCTGTGGCCTTCGACTGGAGGGTTAAGTTGGCCAAAAAGAGATCGATACAGCTCTGTCCTGGAAGACAAATACAACAAATTGGTTAACACACTGGTTCACTTTTCAAGGTTAAAAAGAAACTAAGACACTGAGAAATACCCCTACCTGTTTCTTCAGTGGAAAACACAGCTGTATAATTAAAAATGCATCCCACAGCTCTTGTTCACAAATACCATGGAAGAAAGAAGCCCAGAGCAGCCAATCAAATAGCAAAATATGTAAATAGCCCAATGTGGCTGGATACCCTGTCTCTAGAGAATGAGTTTTCTATAAGTTTGCCCTTTACAGATAGGCTCTTCAAGTAAGAAAACAAGATTGAATATTTTAATAGGACATGTGAGACAGCCATGCGATGAGGAGGGCTCAATCAGACATGGAATGTAGGGGGATATAATTTAGTTTTCATATATTTCCTTGGACCTGGCAGTACTTGAAAAACAATGGAAATGACCCAGCACCAAAATTCCAATTACTCTCCATGTGCAGTTGCTCAGGAGCAGGCCTGAGCTTCTTCCCCACTCCCAGCCTCCTTCCTTATACTCAGTCCAGTCAGTAATAGGATTGGTTTATTTCTAAACTTGGATTTGACATTTAAAAAAAAAACATAGTATGCCAGGATCTTGAGCCCCTGAGAATAAATTATCACTTGCAACCTCAGTTCCTGCTATTAAACACAACATACACATAAACATCTGGCCAGAGCCATCTGTCAAGGCCCGGAAAAGCTGAAAGGGGGTAGGTGGGGCAGGGATCTTCCCTATCATAGTGATAGAAACCCCAGAACATTCCCCTTGTGTATACAGACAGATCCCCCTGCAGGACATGAGGAGCCACCAGGCTCCAAGCAGGTCAGACCCCCAGGGGAATGACCCTGACACCAAGAGGTAGATGTGGAGGACATGGCCCAGGGGCTGGCAATCCATAACTGTACTCTGCAGAAAGGTTCAGCCATGAACCCTTATGCAACGAGAGCGTCAGGGACAGGGCGGAGGTCACAAGCCAGGGAATAGGTAGTTGCAGAAGAACCTGCCAATATCCTCAAGATCTAACCCCAAAAGCAGCCTGCTGTCCTTGGTAGGAAAACAGGCTGTTCAAAGTGCTTTTAATATCTGAGGATCGGCCAGGCTCGGTAGCTCAGCCTGTAATCCTGAGCTTTGGGAGGCCAAGGTGAGTGGATTTGAGACCCACATGGGCAACTTGGCGAGACCTCATCTCTACAATAAATCAAAAAATTAGCTGGGCGTGGTAGCACGTGCCTGTAGTTCCAGTTACTTGGAAGGCTGAGGTGGAAGGATCGCTGGAGCCCAGCAGGTCGAGGCTGCGGTGTCTGGGAGCAGCCACTGCCCTCCAGTCTGAGCGAAAGAGTGAGACTCCAACTCAAAAAATATATATATATCTGAGGGTCATCATCAGCCCATCTGCCTTTAAAAACAAAAAAACCCACCTTTCAAAACAAGACTTCAACACCAAAACTTAACAGTCCTTTCTTGAAGTCACTTTACTATAGTTGTTGATAGGAATAAAGGTACTATAATTAGAAAATCCAGCAAAAGGAATAGCATATCAAAGCTTTATGAAAAGAAAGAGAAAAAAATCTTACGGAAGAAGCCAGAGAAGTCAAAGCGTAAGCTAACATTATCATGTTGGGGACCACAGGACAGAGAAGCAGTGCAAGTACAGGCCAGGAAACAAGGGCTCTCCGATTTCATTACATGGATTAATGGCAAGAATTTGCTGCTACCTCACCCTAAACTACTGACCAGCCCCCTCGGCCTCCAGACAAAGGATGCAGGATTCCCATGAGCTCCATGGCCTCTTTGTTCACTGCTACACGCCTTTGTAACTAGCCCTCAGCCAGCCCAGACAAGTCCTAGAAGGTGGAAGGCAGCCTCAGACCAAATGCAAATGAGCAGTGGGCAGCCTCCCAGGGCAGCTTCCAAATCAGCAGCTCCAAGGCAGGAGAGCCACTGCGTACCGCCCAGTCTACCTCATCCGGTATGGGCTGCCCATCTGCCAATAAACACAAGCCACACTGGTCGTTTCCACACAAAACATTAAATGGCATGAAGGGGAGAGGTGCTGTGACAAAAAGGGCAGTGTGACTTTAAGAGGACATGTCTGATGAGAGGAAAATGCAGAGCACAAGCCATTCACCCTCACAATCACAGCCTTCCCACCCGCCTTGCTGGCGTGCTCCAGACCCATCATTACACCAGCAAACGCTTCCTCGGCAGGCGTCTTGCAGTGGGCGCCTGGGCCGGGGCGGCAGTTACTGTCCGCAGCAGGGTTCACGTGTCAGGACAGGGAGTGAGGTGCTGAAACCCGTGTTTTCAGAGAACATCATTTCACACTCAGGTGGGCAAAGCTGACAAACATATGCAGCTGTTCATGGCAAAGCAACTTGGAAAGCTGAGTGGCCTGGGCTCTTCAAATATTTTGAGAAGGGGGGGCAGGCACGCAGAGAGAAGGGGGATGGGGGCAGAGAGAGACAGAGAGACAAAGAGAGATGGAGAGACAGAGAGAGAGAATGTGAATAAGGGATTCTTTCCATCCAAAAATCTCCAAGCAATTTCAACTTTTATATTGTGCTCACCCACTACCACCAATCAGGGACCATTTTTGTCTTCAAAGCAGCTCAATTCCACGACTCCCTCAGGCCCCCACAATTCCAGACCTTGCCATATCTCCCCAGGAACACGGCCAGCCTCCTGGCTGACTCCGCCACCTGTCTCATCCTATCCATTCCCTTCAGCCCCAACACTCCAGACAAATGAAGCAGACCTTCCTGGGGTCCAGGAGTACTATCAGGATGAAGGCGATCCGGACTCTGCCCTTCTTTCCTTGTGGCTGTACAGCCTGGCAAGCTGGGTCATGGGCCTCTCGCCTCTCTGCCTGCACACACCACGCATCCCCAACCTATGTTTTAAGTTGCCATGTAACATGTTTCACAATAAGTTTAAATAGGCACAAAGACATATTTACCACAATGTTTTGAACATTAACTTCTAAAAACCCCTTTACAGTCGGGCTCGGTGGCTCAGCCTGTAATCCCGCGCCTTTGGGAGGCTGAGGTGAGTGGATTGCTTGAGCCCGCGGGTTCGAGACCCGCCTGGGCAGGCGAGACTTCATCTCTACAATAAATCAAAAAATTAGCCGGGCATGGTAGCGCGCACCTATAATTCCGGCTACGTGGAAGGCTGAGGCAGAAGGATCACCAGAGCCCAGCAGGTCGAGGCTGTGGTGGCCGGGAGTGGCCACTGCACTCCAGTCTGGGTGACAGAGTGAGACTCCAACTCAAAAAAAAAAAACGCTTTACAGCCCTTCTGCAATGCCCCAACCTATAAGTCATACTCATATGCTACTTATCATCAACCATTTAAACAACATAAACTCTTAACTTGGACATTTTACACCATCTTTTTCTTGTTAAATCTGTATTTCCATCTGACTTTTCTCTACAGATTTTTGTCCTAATATAATGGTTTTATGCTTAAAAGTGTTTTATTGATCACCCCATCATACTTCTTGGCTACAAAAATAAGTACATAAATAAAAACACTTCTGAAATTTTTAAAAAAGGAAATGAAAATATTTTAATTTTTAATATTGTGAGACAATAAGGCTCTAAGTTAAAAAAATTTGCTTCTGGACTGGGTTAATATTACAATTATTACTGGGATACAATCAGTATCTAGAATAACAATAAGATACAATGTATTGTAATTTTAGTGAAAATTTAATATGCATAGACATGTAAAATGTTACAGAAAACACATCCCTTAGTGATGTGGCTGCGGCCTTTCCCTCCATTTGTTCCTGGACCTGTGGATGAGAGCTATTTATTGCTAGAAGAGGGTTCAGCATCATTTTGATTCCTATTTCTCGTAGATGTAGAGAAACCTATCACATGGATAAGTAGATGGGAACGAGAGAGTTTTGTCATGGCAATGTCACTTGGTTCTTTTAATTCTTTCTGAATTGAATGGCAAAAAAAAAAAAATCACTGAGAGCTGTCCCTCAAAATGTGTTCTAATGATCTACCAGCTGACATTCTCACATTCTCTGGCAATTTTGTTGGAAGTAAAGACCTGGAAACCATGTGACCTGCAGAGTACTTGCTATCTTGTCCCCAGGCATTTCCCTTCCCATTCTCTTACCCAGATCCCAACTGTCCTGTTTGATGCCCTGGAGGTTTCCCCCTGCAGCTTGAGGTCTGGGTCACATTCAGGATGGGCTTGAGGGGGGATTCTCATTATGAGAAGAAGGGCGATGGTGAAAGGCAAGGTAAAAGGAGAACCTGCCCCCCAGCACAGGCCTGGTTTCCAATTTTAGGCAAGACCATAAGGAAACTGACTTATGCTTTTAAGGAAACTGGCCCCTTAGATCTACTGTCTCCTCGGAAAGTCTCTGTAAGCCCCAGTATGAAGTCAGAGGTGGAGGGAATGCTAAGCTTCCCCTCTCAAACCCAGACAGGTGCTAGATCTGGTGCCAATGCTCAGGAAACGGCAAGAGCATTTCAAGAAATAAGACAGCCGGGCTCGGTGGCTCAGCCTGTAATCCCACGCCTTGGGAGGCTGAGGTGAGTGAACTGCCTGAACCCGCATGTTTGAGACCCGCCTGGACAACTTGATGAGATCTCATCTCTACAACAAATCAAAAAATGAGCCGGGTGTGGTAGTGCGCACCTGTAGTTCCAGCTACTTGGAAGGCTGAGGCGGAAGGATCGCCGGAGCCCAGCAGGTCGAAGCTGCTGTGGCCGAAAGCGGCTACTGCACTCTAATCTGGGTGACAGAGTGAGACTCCAACTCAAAAAAAAGAAATAAGACATGTCCATATCCCTCACCCCAGCCCAAGAAAAAACAAACTATAAACCAGGCAACTGAAAGCCACCATGGGACTGAAGGTCTGACTCCTTCTACTGCCTGAAAAATGCCCCCGCAGCACCCTCCCTACCCAGGATTTGGTCAAGCCAGAGAAGTGAGACTAACAACCCTTTAGTTTAACCTTGTCTTGTCTGT